ACACAGTAGTTCAGTATTGCACACACCGAATCAGGATAATAAAACATTCTAATACTCACATAGTATTTGTTTGGTTGTCTTCGCTTCTCGATATCGATCACCTTAACTTCTGTAATCATTTTGGTTGGCGGCAGAGTAACGTTACTTTGTAGCCGACCAGGGAACGGTGTATACCCTGTGCTGTCAGTGGATTTCAGATACAATGACACGTTGAAGTTACTGTCACAATTCAATTGGTAAGAATTTGCATTTTTCGACAACACCCCAAACGAGCTTTGTGACTGTCTCTGTGGGACTTTATTTCGATACATGGCAGGCTGTATTTCTGATTTCAACTGTTCAATTTGACTTTTTCTTTCGGTTTTTAAACCCTCGTTATTATGCCACGATGACTCATTCGTCAAGCGTACCAGACACTTGGTGGACTACATGAATCCAATACATTTTATGTCTGTATATTATGACGTCATTGTAAATAAGGGCGTATGAGTGGTACCTTAGTGTGCATGCGTAGAACCAGGTAACACTATAGCAACAGTTACACTATATAAAAATAGTTGCTAAGCAGAACACTTTGATCAAGAAGAAATTAAAACATCTACATGAAGACTAATGTTTCAGTATACAAAATATATTTTCGATTTTCTCGCACAGCATGTGCTTGTGTGAGTTGCCCTCGCGTCACTTTCGATTAATTAATGGAACCTACCAATAATACTCATTCGGATAGTTTTTGTTTCCAATTTAGAAATCCCAGAGCAACCGAAAACACAATTCATACGTCCAATATAAAAATACAGATCGAATAGCAATCTCAAAACCTAAGAAACTATGACACGATTGCGACCAGAGGGTATCCCAAACATGACAGGGAAAATATTAATATAAACCGATAAATTGGCTCTGTGGATCAACCAAATAAACAGTAATTAATTTGCATAAATTGGTTCTGTGGATCCACAGTAAATAATCATTAATTTGCATAAATTGGTTCTGTGGATCCACCAAATAACAGTAATTAATTTGCATAAATTGGTTCTGTGGATCCACCAAATAACAGTAATTAATTTGCATAAATCGGCTCTGTGGATCTACCAAATAACAGTAATCATTATTTTGCATAAATTTGTTCTGTGATTCTACCAAATAACAGTAATTAATTTGCATAAATTGATTCTGTGGATCTACCATGAATAACAGTAATTAATTTGCATAAATTGGTTCCGTGGATCCACCAAATAACAGTAATTAATTTGCATAAATCGGCTCTGAGGATCCACCAAATAACAGTAATTAATTTGCATAAATCGGCTCTGTGGATCCACCAAATAACAGTAATTAATTTGCATAAATTGGCTCTGTGGATCCACCAAATAATAGTAATTAATTTGCATAAATTGGTTCTGTGGATCCACCAAATAACAGTAATTAATTTGCATAAATCAGCTCTGTGGATCTAACAAATAACAGTAATCATTAATTTGCATAAATTTGTTCTGTGGATCTACCAAATAACAGTAATTAATTTGCATAAATTGGTTCTGTGGATCTACCAAATAACAGTAATTAATTTGCATAAATTGGTTCTGTGGATCCACCAAATAACAGTAATTAATTTGCATAAATCGGCTCTGTGGATCCACCAAATAACAGTAATTAATTTGCATAAATCGGCTCTGTGGATCCACCAAATAACAGTAATTAATTTGCATAAATTGGCTCTGTGGATCCACCAAATAAAGTAATTAATTTGCATAAATTGGCTCTGTGGATCCACCAAATAACAGTAATTAATTTGCATAAATCTTCTCTGTGGATCCACTAAACAACAGTAATTAATTTTAAATGACAACCTTTTTCCAAAATATTGTGCCCTGGTTATAAATATGACGAACGCATGAACTTCAAGACTTGTGTATATGTATAGAGGTCGTCAAGACCGGTAAACAAACACTCGTGTGTATACGCATAAACATTAAATCAATGGCAGCGAACAAACGGCATGGTAAATACCACGTCAAATCAAATTAAGCCATGCCGTTTATTCGCTGTTATTTGCTTACTTTAATTTCTATGTCAGTAACAACTAGGAGTTTAAAATCAATGACAGACTCGTATTAGAAGTATAATGAGAAACATTGTAAATATATAATAAATAAAATGACACATATAGTGTGAATTTATGTGAACGTCACAAAAACTATTCAACGTTTAAGAAGCATGCTTGTTGAAATAATCCTAAAATAAACAACTAACCAAGCTGTAAATTGTGGTTTCCATCGTTACTATGAAATCAATAACTTTTTTTTTTTCAGATTTCATGCTTGATTTTACAAGTAAAGTGTGTTCGCCATATTGATAATTTCATATTTATATGATTGATATTTTTGTGATTTGTCGAACGTATGTATGTACACCTCAAATCATATAGATATATGTTATTTCACTTCTCGGATGTAGGGGAATGTTTGAATTCAAATTCTATCATACGTATATGGCAAGATGTCGCACATATAGTAACAAAAATGTAAAAAACACAGTGATCGAAGTATACAACTTATTGACTGACATAGGAATAATTGCACTTATCATTCCTATGACCCAGTATTTATTCACAAACTGTTTCATTCCTCACTAGTCACGTGATCAAAACATAATTTTAGGCCATTTTATATTTAATTTGATTAAATGTTTGTGAAATTATGATGGATATCAAACGTGTAAACATATTTAAAAAAAATTAGTCAAAATAATAGTTGGCTCTGTACTTTAACTGAAAAGACCAATTACCTCGTAGTTTATTCTAAAATATGTATTGATTCTAGTCGTAAAATTATACACATAAATCAAAATACATATATACTGCTAAAATTGCAATTCCCATCAACAGGTGAACATTGACCCCTCTAAATATTGTTCATGCCTGTAAATACATGCATTCCAATGTTGATGTCTAGTTTACAGGGAATCTAGCAGACAGCGCATTTTAGATAATCTAGCTGACATTTATGTTAGAATTTCGTATATAAGTTTATTCGACGATCGCGTACTGATAAACCCTCCCCCACGGTGTGCACCTGTTTACGTTCGAAACAGAATATTGTTTTTTCTTCACAAAGAATCATCAATTGGAAAACTGTTGATTGTTCAATAATTTGCAGCACTCACGAGAGATCAGAATAACTAAGTTGGTTATCCATTGAGCCAGAGATACACCCAGTACAACTAACTTTTTTATTTGTCATATAATACAGGCTGATGGTCTTAAAGTACTAGCTATAACATCAAATACCTAATTAGGAGTAATAGCGCCACCAAGTGTCAGTTTTAGCGTGTATCTTCCATGTTTTAGTATCACCAGACCAGATTTTTAACTTGAACTGTGGTCGGAGAGGGTAGTGCCATGGAAGATAGAAGGACCTAATCCTAGTACCTTCCATGATAGTGCTAACAAAAGTCTTACCTGGAGTGACAATGGGTCTACTAACTGGTAATGTATGACTTTATTCCCGTACTATAGGCCTTGCGCCTCAATGTACATAGCTTATAATAAACAGAATAAATGAATACAGTTAAAGGTATGTACATGCTGAATCCCCGATGAAAACAAATATATCAATTTACTCAAATAATGTTTGGCGCATTCGTTCACTATAGACAATATATTTACTCAATTACTCAAAACTACTATCATTTGATTCTTGGTAAGTAATAACAAAACAATTTCACCCAAGTGTAGGCGAAAATTTCAAGAATGAATGTATTTCTGAATCCTTCATACATTGGGCAAATCAAATAAAAGTGGTGGTATATCATTATTGAGAGTAATATTGACTGGTTATCCCACATAAAATTGATAAATGCGTAGATTTTATTCTTCACAATCACCAAATCACAATATGTAAGTGATAGTGTGAATTACGTTTATTATCTTAGAACAGGGAGTGTTTATTCAAAAGTATATTTAAACGTGTTTTTGTTTTGTGTGTGTGTTTTGTGTGTGTGTGTGTGTTTTTTTTGTTGAATCTCCGCGATAACATCCAGGACAAAAATGTTACTCTGGAATGATTTATTTTGTTTTGAATTAAATTTCCCAAAATATTCAAGAACTGAATATAGTTACTGCACACCATCTTTCCATAATGTTTGCCGCGTAATCAGTGATATATTTCCAAACAAACAAATATACAAATTCAAGTACAGATGCAAATAGACATCACAGTGGAGTGATATAGTAGGATTAGAAGTATACCTAGTCTATGGCTATAGGCTTTCAACACTGGCGGGGGGTCATTGATTACGTTATGAACATCGTATTCGAACTTAAGTGTGTATATTGTTATTAAGACAGTATTTATCGGGATGCCTTCTACGTCTATCAACTTTGTAAATAGCGCCACCAAGTGTCTATGAGGTGAGTAATACCGCCAACATTACAGTAGCTTGGTGTCATTATTTGAACACTGTTCAGTTGTTTGGTCTTTATTTGAAAACTTGTTGGGTAATTATTTGGCCATTATTCAGTTATTTTGTCTTAATTTAAACTTTATTTTGGATTTATTTCATTTATATATGTTGTTATTACAGCATCGCATCGCTATCGTTTTATTAATTTAACTTTATTTCCTAATTATTTTTATTATTGTGTAATTGCTACAATATTAGTTTGTCATTGTTTCATTATGTTACAATTGTGTCATTATTTAGACATTATCTTGACATTCAATTGTCATAAGATTTCGTTATGTTCACGTTCAAATGTGTTTGGGTCAAACAACAGATCGAAGATTGAGGGCGTGATGTACGGTCGGTCGGTCCTTGGTCCAGAATTATTTGCATAATCTCGCGTTGCCACGTTGTATTCTCGCGCGATCTTGTATTTTACCGCCGACTAAGGTTTTCTCGTGGTGTGTGTGAAATTGCGATTTTGTTTAAACCGGCTGTGGTGGAAATTGTCAGAAAAGTTACAGGTAATGTTTTTTCTACTAACGAATACCGTGTATTTGGTGAAGCTGAATATCAACGGTTGCGTGGAACAGTCAATAATTGTAAAATTGCTGTCTTAAACAAAACAACATGGCGGTCCGCGTCATTTTGTCCATGATGAGCACGAGTATGTGCAAACCTTAAAAATATTTAGACGAATCGGCCATCCTACGTGAATTCATAATATCTTAATGCTCATATTTTTTGGGTCACATGACCAGATTTGTTTCAACCTTGATTTTGTTTTAAATATCGACATGTTTTCTTGATTTTCGGTTTATAATTTAAATGCCGCGTGTCGAAAGCTAGCTAGCGACTTTTTGTTTCATTAATAGGTAAACATGCGAGTGTACAGCGAATCAACTATTCACTAGATTGTGATCTATGTTATGTACTTAAGTGTTTGGATTCTGTATCACGCTTTTTTCCAATGCTAAAAACACGTAATCATTTATTATTTTGTTAGTTCTGGCCCTTCTGTCTACCCGGCTTTGGGAAACAGTAGTGTGCACGTAGCCCTACGTATTGCGCTGTGTTGATCGGGGGAACTAATTGACAATGCTACACCCAGCCCTACGCAGTCACGATAGTTTTGTATTCGATTGGCACTAATAGCGACCATGCATTGCAGTGTTTTCCCCAGGAATTTAAACCACTGTGGCGGCCTAATTTGCATATCATTTACATAATAATAGAAATTGACCAAAGCACATTTACACCCACACAATAAACAACATATATTTTCAAAAACAAAGTGGCAGATATTTATTTGCTTCACACAGTGTTATAAACACTTTTATTTTTGGCACTTTTGTAATATTAATGAGCTCCGTCACAGTGCGAATATTTTTTTTTTGGAGTCAAAAAATTACGTTTCACAACTTAGAAGAGTTTGAATTTAAAAATGAAACATTCTCGAAATGCAAATGCTGCAGATAAAAAGAAACAAATAAATTGTATAAGGTTGATTGAAACTCATCTGAAACGTTTTCAGCCAGGATTATGTTCACAACTTTCATGGTCTTATTTACTACAAAATTCTCCTTAAAAAAATCGACCACGTAATTATTTGGCGGATTGCTGGTTATTATTCCGACCATCAGCTTCTACAACGTTTACATTTACAGTAAATGAACGGACAAATAACACTTCCAAACGATCATCAAAGTTACGACGTGACGTAACTTACTTCGCGATGTTATACACCGGTTATACCAATAATTCCTCTTACTCAGTCATGATGCCATGCAAAAATTAAATACTTCTTTTTTCATATGAAAAAAACGTAAAATTTGTACTAGTTTTATCAGGAGAAATTATTTTGATCACTTGATCTCTTTGGTGAAAAACACAGACCCGCCCCGCCATGATAGCTGTGAAGCGTTATTTGACCGCATGTGTCCTTTGACCCGGTGGGTCAAAAATGCCATTAACCAATCCGAATGCCGCATGGTAATGCCGGTAGAACCCGAAGTTTTTCGAATGATCGTGATCATAAAAATTACATTGCGGAAGTAAAGCGATGTCGTAGCATGATGTGTTGGTATGGATTTCAGATGAAAACTGCATGATGGTTTTTGAAAGAGGTGATTAGCAATTTTTAAAAGGTAAAAGAAGTCTTGAAAGAAGAGTTTTCATATGATTCACGATGATAACAGTTCAAATATATTTTACCCAATCACACAATAAACAGGTTGTTTTTTTCTTGAGTAGCGTAAACTGATCGTGAACTCCACTTTGCTCATGTTACATTGGGGAGGAATTGATTTTGAAAGAATTTTAGCTTTCAATCTGCGTCTATCGTCAGAAAATATTTACTTACAAACAAAGAGGTGCTAATTTTACAAAATTGACTTGTATTGTTTAAAGCCGCTACCACATCGCTCGAATATGTCTACTGTTAACAAATTATTATCCGCGGCTGGCAGGATGCTTGTCGGTCGGTACGTATAATAACAATATGACAATAGTCCTGGTCGAAAGCGTTTCCGTTGAGTGCCGGTCGGGTCGACCAGCGAAACGAGATCCCCAATGAAAAAAGCACTGTGGCGGACTTGTTAATCAATGTGGGGGTGTCAGACCCGTGTGACGGCAAATCGAAGCACTGTGGCGGGACCACCAAGCTGTTTACATCCTGGGGAGAACGAGTCCCACTTACAAAATTTTAAGAAATTGAAATTTGACCCTGGATAACTTTATTAGAGATTGGACCCCGGCTTGCCTGAAAAACAGGGTCCCACTTCAATAATTGCAGTGTTCTCCCCAAAGCGTTTTAGCACACGGGGCAGCTACTCTAATTTACACCACTACTCTGAGAGCTTGTCTGCAACGCTGAAGAAATTCCATCCCGACTGATCTAATAAAAGTTGTTATTGTCGATCTGTTGTGCACATTTACTATTTCCGGTTTCCATTAATGAACATAACAAAAAAACAACTGGCACTTGTTAGCAGACTGAAAGAAAGTGTGAAGCTTGGTTTTCGTTGTGTTCAAACGTAAAAAGCAAATGAACATAACAATGCACTAGAACACATTATCGGAAAAACACAAGTTCGGCCAACCAAGACTGCTTAAAAGTAATGATAAAATTGAGAAGTAATTCACTATCACTGAATCTTATCATTCTTGAATTAGCTTTGAAGTAAGTGATACTCAAGAGTACAGTGTTCTCCCCAGAAAATTCTCTCAGGGTAGTGGCTAATTTGCATAATAATTAGCATATAATTAGCATATTAATTTGCATATTTGTTACATTCCTAGAAATAATATAAGCAACACAACATAGGTTTAACTTTGAAAAAAAAAAACAGTCTTTATTTATATACAA